CAAGGGCAACCGGTAGAGAACAACAAGGGACCTTGGAGGTCTTCTAGTCCAACCCCTTGCTCAAACAGGAGACCCCTATATCATTTCAAAATTGGTTGCCCAATCTCTTCTTCAAAACATCCAGTGATAGAGCCCCACAACAAGGTAAGTTGTTCCATTCCATAATCTACAATTTGTTAATTAATTCTTCTAATTATCAAGGAAATTAATTCTGAACTGCTTCTCTCCATGATTAGTTTTCTGAGGTTCGCGTGACTAAGCCTTTGCCAAAATATAAATATCACCCCCAAGATAATTTGAGGCATTTAGCCAACACACATGCCTCTCTGTTCCACAATCATGATATTGCTGATAAGAAGGATAGACATGATAGCAGTCTTCCCATCTCTCAGGGGTTGCCCCAAAGAAGAGGGAGTCAAGCTATTCTCCAAGGCACCTGAGGGCAGGACAAGAAGCAATGGGTGGAAACTAATCAAGGAGAGAAGCAACTTAGAACTGAGGAGGAATTTCCTGACAGTGAGAACAATCGATCAGTGGAACAGAAGTTGCCTTCAGAAGTTGTGAATGCCCCAACACTGGAAGTCTTTAAGAAGATGTTGGGTAACCATTTGTCTGAAGTGATATAGGGTTTCCTGCCTAGGCAGGGGGTTGGACTAGAAGACCTCCAAGGTCCCTTCCAACTCTGCTAGAAAGAATGCAGAGAAGAGCAACAAAGAGGAGGGAGACTAAAACCTATGAAGAACGGTTGCAGGAACTGGGTATGTCTAATTTAATGAAAAGATGGACTAGGGGAGACATGATAGCAGTCTTCCAATATCTCAGGGGTTGCCACAAAGAAGAGGGAGTCAACCTATTCCCCAAAGCATCAGAAGGCAGAACAAGAAGCAATGGGTGGAAACTAATCAAGGAGAGAAGCAACTTAGAACTGGGGAGGAATTTCCTGACAGTGAGAACAATTAATCAGTGAAACAGAAGTTGCCTCCAGAAGTTGTGAATGCCCCAACACTGGAAGTCTTTAAGAAGATGTTGGGTAACCATTTGTCTGAAGTGATTTAGGGTTTCCTGCCTAGGCAGGGGGTTGGACTAGAAGACCTCCAAGGCCCCCTCCAACTCTGCTCTAGTATTATATTGCATCACTAGTCAAAAGCCTTGATTTAAATCAACTCGATTTAAATCATAATTTTTAAAGAGCAACGGTCCTCTCTGTCAGCAGCGACTCCTCCTCTGACTCGTGGTTGACTCACCGACCCTCCGAGGGACTTTAATGGGACGGCTGCAGAGGTGGGTTGTTCCCAGTTCGACCCAAATCGGGCGAACTGGTAGCGGTGGCGGTGCCCACCCGCCCGGACGCTTCTGCGCATACGCGAGCGAACCGGTAGTAAAAAAAATGGAAAACTACCACGGCAGGGACACCAAAAGGTGAAGGACATGGTGGGAAGCAGGTGAGTGGATGCTCGTTAAGAGCCGCTGCCCTGATGGATCTGGAATGACAGGTGCTCTTTAATATTATATTTATAAGCTGCTGAGAAGGTTTCACTTTCATTCTTAGCTGCTTGCCCTTAAGAGCCTGGTGGGGAGATACAGATGCATTTCTCTCCAAACAATCGTGCAGTTTGCAGCGCACACGGATTTGCAAAACGCTGGGATAAAAGGAATATTCCTGAACTTTGTTTTACGATTTATCTCGTGGTTACGGTGGAATTGTGTGGAAGCATCAATGCGGTGCATGTTATCTCGGCTTGCAGAGCTTGGATTTCATTGAACGAGTTGACCCAAAATGTAAATATTGCAGAATATATACAGCCTCATGCTACCTAACTAAGCTCCGTTTCATGCAGAATAAACTAAATTATTTACGTATCTTAAATAGAAAACTATCTTCAGATAGATTGATTTTTTTTTTTTACTCCAACAGCATTTGATTAAAATAAATTTGATAAAAATAAAAATCCGATTTAAATGAAAAATAAATCCAATTCGTGTATGGGAGCCCAACGTTCCACCTTTTGCGAATTAAAGAATATAAAGCAGACTGAGATACAGTCGTTGGGACAAGTTTTCCCCTTCAGAGCGGAAGATGCCAAGACCCAGGGATGTTCTCTAGATCGCATAGCGTAACATAAAACACCAGGGCTCACCCATCTTGCTAATGCGAGGCCTTCAGTACCCAGAATTCCCCAGCTGACATGGCTGAGGCTAGGAATTCTGGGAGCCGAAGTCCATAATTGGCAAGTTGTGAAATGGGATCTAGACTTAAAATATGGTAGGCCTTATGGGTGTGGATCACATCGGTTTTCCATTGCATGGGGATTTTGAGCCCAATTGATCCCTTCCTTCCTTCCTTCCTTCCTTCCTTCCTTCCTTCCTTCCTTCCTTCCTTCCTTTCTTCCTTCCTTCCGTCCTTCCTTCCTTCTTTCCGTCCCCTTTCATCTATTTCTTTTCCCTCCCTCCTTCATTCCTCATTTCTCTCCTTCTCCTTCCTTCCCTTCTCATCTTCTTTCCTTCTTTCTTTCTTTCCTTCCTTCCTTCCTTCTTTCCTTCCTTCCTTCCTTCCATCAATCCATCCATCCATCCATCCATCCATCCGTCCTTCCTTCCCCTCTCATCTATTTCTTTCTCCCTCCCTTCTTCATTCCTCATTTCTCTCTTTCTCCTTCCTTTTCCTTCCTCCCCTTCTCACCTTTCTTCCTTCTCATTATTTCTTCCTCCCTCCTTCATTCCTCATTTCTCTTTCTCCTTTCCTTCTCAACTTCCTTCCTTCCCCTCTCATCTATTTCTTTCTCTCTCCCTTCTTCATTCCTCATTTCTCTCTTTCTCCTTCCTTCCTTTTCCTTCTTTCCCTTCTCACTTTCCTTCCTTCTCCTCATCTATTTCTTCCTCCCTCCTTCATTCCTCATTTCTCTCTTTCTCCTTCCCTTCTCAACTTCCTTCCTTCCTTCCTTCCTTTCTTCCTTCCTCTCTCATCTATTTCTTTCTCCCTCCCTTCTTCATTCCTCATTTCTCTCTTTCTCCTTCCTTCCTTTTCCTTCCTTCCCTTCTCATCTTCCTTCCTTCTCCTCATCTATTTCGTCCTCCCTCCTTCATTCCTCATTTCTTTCTCCTTCCTTCCCTTCTCATCTTCCTTCCTTCCTTTCTTCCTTCCTTCCTTCCCCTCTCATCTATTTCTTTCTCCCTCCCTTCTTCATCCCTCATTTCTTTCTCCTTCCTTCCTTTTCCTTCCTTCCCTTCTCATCTTCCTTCCTTCTCATCTATTTCTTCCTCCCTTCTTCATTCCTCATTTCTCTCTTTCTCCTTCCTTCCCTTCTCACCTTCCTTCCTTCCTTTCCTGTGCCTGATCCTCCCCTCCTCCCTTCTCAGTTGTTGTTGTGTACAAAAGAGGACAGGAGGATGGTGGATTGTGTACGTCCCGCCCCCTTGAGTTGTTTATTAAAATGAGGCATACAAATAAAAAATAAATAAATACGTTGCAAGAACTGGGATTTTGGACATTGATTGATCGATGCTCAGCCTCTAGATTGGCCAGTTTTCATCCCTGACTCTTTTGCCCGTCTGTCAGGAGAGGCTCCCGATGATCATCTCCGAGTAGTAGCAAACTCTCCCCTAAAGTTATGTGTGAGTTAAAACCTTTGATGGTAAATATGACAGATAAATCACCTTATTTTGAAGAAGAGTGGCCCGGAATAAGGATAGCTCTATGCTTAGATTACACGCTACGAGCTACCCAAGAAATATTAATAATGCATTTAATCTTTCTGGGAAATAGGATTTTTATAATCATAATGATATTATATCTGCGTGCTGTGCTGATAAGTTGAAATCACATTACTTGCTAGACTAGAAGCTTTATGCATATAATAAAGGCTGGCATTCATGCTTAGAAGTGCTCTTGCCTGTTAAAAACCAGCAATTATACGTCTCTACCGCAGCTTCGAGGCGCATTATGGCCTTATCAGGAGACACAAGCTGGGAGGAATGTACTTCTGTGTCTCAGGATGCTGCTTCCATTGAAATTTGGAACAAGACTTTGGAAAAAGTGCCGAGAAGAGCAAAGTAAGAGGAAGAAAGGCCTGGAGACTAAAACATACAAAGAACGGTTGCAGGATTCGGATATGGCCATTCTAGAGAAAAGAATAGCAATATCAATAGCAGCTAGACTTATATACCGCTTCATAAGGCTTTCAGCCCTCTCTAAGCAGTTTACAGAGTCAGCATATAGCAATAGCAGCTAGACTTATATACCGCTTCATAA